AATAAAAGCAACCAAACTAGAGAATATGTTTCGAAAAATCGTCTGTCTTTAATGAATAGTTTTGTCAATATTTATAGCCTTATCCAGCTAGTAAATTTCATCATAATCACGTTTCGATACATCTGGAAATTAACTCATTTTACTGTCAGATTGTATGTACCACTAGCTAGTTGAAAGTCATTTAGGACTGTGAACAGTTGGCTATTTAACCCATAAATGTCCACTAATAAAATTGCCTTTAAATTATACAACATGACCAAAGCATTTGTTTAAATGTAATTTCTTCTCTTTTGACGACCGAGTTTGAATTGAATTTTCCAAAGTTCTAGTACTAAGTTATGATCTCTATGATTCAAACATATATTGTCTGAGACACTTAACAGCAATGACATTAAACTGTTGTTGTGTTGTAATGTTAATCTTTTTAATAAACGGAATACCCCTATTATGACATTATGTAATGTTAATCGACTGACGCTGAACTAAGCAGCTCATTCAGTTTTAATTTAGAGCTTCAAAGGACTTGAATATTTTGGACTCGATTCCAGGTCGGATTAGGGAAAAACTTAAAATGTAAAATTGTCATCAGTATGATATGAAGTATTTTGAGTAATTTTATGTAATGAAATGTAAATAATAATTCACAATGTCATATAATCAAAATAAAACCAGTTACAGAGGACTAATGGAAGGATTGCACCTCTCAACCTTTTAGTTATCAGACTAGTATGTTCGTAGTTTTAGTAAACTGGCTTAGCTTTGTAACGAATCGAAGAGGTTTTTGAATGATAATTAGACGTATGTACCAGTTACAGTATTCTTACATTCTACTACTACTGTTTTCTTATGTTCGGGATGATCAAAGATAATTAAATCATTTTCTGTCCAAGAAACATGAAATTCTATCATTAACAATATAAAACTACAATGTGTATCTTACGATGAAAAATCATCTGTCTGGTCAATAAATCAACCAAGATCAATAAATCATCCACACATGTAATTAGGGCATAGATTTTACTGAATGCTGAAGTTCATATTGGTGACTAAAATGAAGCATTATCGCTGTTTATTATTTAATAGTTCCCAGTTGAATTACATATTGTTAAGCAATATCAGTGTTAGTTATAAAAATGTAGATTGATTTCGTTTAACCGGCATCAGTTATTGTTTCCGTGTGAAAAAACCTTAATTATGAAATGAATTTCTAAGCTGAAAGACAATAAATTCACTTATAACTAATGTCACAAGATCATAGAATTTTTCAAATTCACGATAAAGGCCATCTATAATTGAGGGATCACCAATATCACATTTGTTACGTTCTTTAATATTTATCAATTTGTAGTGTGCCAGCTGATCTAAATGTCTTGAATTAGCTTGCAATATGTTATGATACTAGATGATTAAAGGTAGTTGATGGGAAACTCAAGAATTCTAAATATACTTGATCTAATAATAACCTAACTAGCTCAGTAAAAACGTTCTGATTTATCATGAAATATCACGTTGCTAATACCTGCAAGTACAATTTGGTACTAAGCACCAAGTAACACGAAATCTAATACCTAACAAGGTTTTCATTTAGACTACCTCTAACTACCTTAATCTTAATAAATATCGTTTATTAGTATTTTGACAAAAAGCAAATTATATAAATACTGTTTTAGAGCATGGCAACTACTGATGTCATTGAATTCTCATCAAAATTTCAGTAGTATATTTAACATAAATTAAATATGTTAATAGTTTTTGTTGCTAGTTCACATTACTTTGGTTACAATAGTAAGTTTAACCATTCATTCATTCATCCATTCTTATTTAATATTTCTTAACATTTAATACTTACATTTAAAGTACTCAATCTCATTCAATTGTACTATAATTTAGTCCTTGACAAAAGTCAATTATAATTTTATTCAGAATTTTATAAATTAAACAAATATCGATTTTTTTTTCTCTCTCTCGTATCATTTAATGAATTGGATATTGATCGAAAAATTTAAAAAGTTTTCTAGAAAGTTTATCAATATTTCATAATCTATCAATCGAAATTTATTGATTTTTTTTTGGTGTTTTTTTTCTTCAGTAGTTATCTACTTTTACATAAATAGTAGATATAGTATAGTATAGTGTGATATAGTGGTGATTACTAAAATGTATCTTATAATAAAGATGTTATTTTTGAGGTAGATCACCATCACATGATGATTGATTAACCTTAACGTCAATGTTTTCTTTAGTTGATATTCATTAATTTATAAAGTGTGTTATTGTACTAAACTCCTATTCAAACAAACAAACGAATAAATAAAGAAGAATAAAAAGTCAATCAGCTGATATTATTCATAACATTTTCAATGTTTTATAAGTGCATTGTATCCAGTGTTTCACTAGTTGAAATCATGAGTTAATTGAAGTTGGACCACGATGAAAAACCTGAAAGCACTGAACGGCCATTGGCTTGGTTGGACATTTACACCGACTTAGTGACCTAATGGTTAAGCGCTAGCGCGCGAGATTGATAGGTCCTGTGTTCAATTCCAACGGGTGGCCGGATTGTGGATGCGCACTGATGAGGAGTCCCATAGTAGAATGAAATGGCCGTTCAGTGCTTTATCATTTTTTTATGTCAGTCAAAGAAACAATCAAAGTCTAGGAACACTGGATAGTTGTATCCTACTAGCAAATAACTGTGAAGAGATGTCATTTAATCATCTTTCAATCACTTTCGGAAAGAATAGATAATATTTAGTCTTGAAACAAATATCCAGTTGATCTCCAAATTATCAATTTCTTTCACACTCTAAATATACACTGATAAATGGTAATTTTAAGATTATTTTCATTATTTCACAAGTTGAAATCATGAGTCATTTGGAGCTAGACCATCATGGAAAACCTGGAAGCATTGGACGGCCGTTTCGTTCCAGCATGGGACTCCTCAGCAGTGCGTATCCACGACCCCGTACCTCGCGGGATTCGAACCCAAAACCTACTGGTTTCGTGCGCGAGCACTTAACCAGTAAACCAATGAGCCGGCATCTAATGGTGTAAATGTCTAACTTCAACCAATCCACGAAGTCGCGCCACCGTACACTATTGTCTTCAGTGAGTTCCTATCTCACAACAGACGTGGTTGAGTCCCATACCAGGACGAAACGGCCGTCCAGTGATTTCAGGTTTTCCATGATGCTCTAGCTTCAATTGACTCATGATTTCAACTTGTGAAATTTCTAAAAGTCTCCACAAAACCAATTTTGATAATATTTTCATTATATTGTATTCAGTGAAATAGGATTTTGAAGTGAGTATTTAATATTTTACTGTTATCATTTGTAAAAAAATTTAGTTGGACAATTATTTTATTCCTTGATAGGCATGGGTTTCAATTGTATGGTTGAGTAGCTTTACATCGTCTAGGTTTCTTTATTTTCGTCAATCTTTTTTAATTCTGACGAACCCAAAATAACCTTGATAACTTTTCCTAATTTCACATTAACCTACTAACCTTTTCGATTTTATTTAATTCATTAGCTTCGTCTTTAGATTTATGATCTTTGTTAAATGTTCCAAAGCCATAGTTGTTGTTTTTATACACTGAGCTGTTGTATTACTGTAGTGAATGAGAACACAAATGTGGACAACCAAATATATTTTGACATAACATTACAGAATATATTCGTAAAATCTGAGAATTATACAGTAAATACTTCATTTGCAAAATAACCATCAATTGTCTTAGACTTTGTTCTTCCTTCGCTTTCATACCAAACACTCTCTGTTCTCGTTTTCTTCTCTTCGATTTTCTCGATTTTCTGACGCTAGGCATTCCACTTTTGAACGGTAATATATACTATTTATATCTATCGACATCAGTAGCACACATCACATCACATATCTCTGTAATCATCTGATGGATTATTATTATTGAAGGGTTTCGGAGATTAGTTGTTGAGCTCTATATATAAGTGTACATAGTACTTGTATTAAAATACATCTTTATTTACTTCTTGGAATAATCGTAATCTATGCCAATATATAACAGTGTAGTAGAAAATCATATCTGTTGATTAAAGTTTACAAACTTATATCATCTCTTACATTATTCTGTAAATATTAAAGTGTGAAACAATTTTGTTTATCTATAGTTGTGATTTATTCATTCCTAGTTATGGGATTTAAATGGCCAACTTCTAGGTATACTAATCACTGATATCCATGAATTAACACAAGTGCTTTCGTTTAAATTGGTATCATGAATGCATCATTATTGAACCACCATTGAAAACCTGGAAGAACTTGACAGCCGTACCATCCAAGTATGTGACTTCGCATCAGTACACATTCCCGATCTCGCACGCAGGACTCGAATCCACGACCTTGGGTCTCGCGCGCAAACGTTTAATCTGTAGTCGGAATTCAATAATGCTTATGTCTAACTTCAACCAATCCACGATATTGCACGACCTTCTATCATTGTCTTTAGTGAGCAACTGCCTCACACGGTTAAACTCCACTGGCTATGGATCTCACTAGAACTCCTACATGCGAGATCGTGAATTCACACTGCTGAGAAGTCCTATATTAAGACGAGATGGCCGTCAAGTGCTTCCAGGTTTTCAATGGTGTGCTAACATTGATCCATACATGATATCAACTTAAACTCAACAATCTCCAAAACTCTATCCTGATAATTAACATCTGCTATAGTTAATAAAACATTATCAAAATTAACATTCAACTAACCTGAATTGAATCATTCCCATCATTTCAAATTAACCGGAATTTTTTTAAATATTTTTACATTAATAATTGATTGATTCAATTTATTTCTTGTAAGTTACTATTAACTTATGAATATTCACACAATCTATTCAGTTTCATATTACTTTGTTTCGAGTCAAAGCAACACAAATTACACACATATTTGTTTCTAAGATCAAAGTGATTAATTGTTATTTTATCATAAATACTGTTAGTTTCAACACTTACATAACTACTGTGAAATGTAAACCTACTAAAATTTTTCCATTATTTGGTGTGTCGATCAAATAGAAAATATAATCACTTTAAGACTTGGAACCCTTGCTACGTGTGTGTGTGTTCTATCACAATTTTACACTTTAAAACAAGTTACTTTAAAAAGCTAAATACTTTGTGAAAAGAATGTATGAATTATGAGCAAACAGGAAGTGAATCAATAAAAAGGTAAAAAAATGTTCAGGGTTCACGAAAATAAAGCAAATGGTTATTGCATGATGATGATAATGATGATGATGATGATGATGATGATGATGATGATGATGATGATGATGATGATGATGATGATGATGATGATGATGATGATGATGATGATGATGATGATGATGATGATGATGATGATGATGATGATGATGATGATGATGATGATGATGATGATGATGATGATGATGATGATGATGATGATGATGATGATGATGATGATGATGATGATGATGATGATGATGATGATGATGATGATGATG